TATCACTAGACTGACACAGGCCCGGGGGGAGCCCACGGAGCATCCCACCTGCTTCCTGTGTGCTCCTAGCTCTGACCAGAAGGCAAACATACTCAGGGTTGTCCTCCTCTGCCCCCCCATTCCTGCAGTCCTGGCAGTTCCTACCCGTAGTAGAGTATTAGCCTTTAGTCATTGCTAATAAATGTATTGAAGATCATTCCTGTTCTCATGGCATGTGACAGATTTCTCCCCACTCTTCTTTTTGTCCCCAGCCCACACCTGACCTCCTTCCTCATGGTCTGGGAGTCAAGGTCCCCAGTTTGCACCACCCTCACTGAGCCACCCCTGGTCCTCGCTCTCCTCAGGCATGTGCTGAGCAGCTGGTCTCTTCCACCCCCTGCAGAGCCTGGCGTCCATGTCAGGCCACCCTGACCACTCTGCCCTTCCACCTGAGCTCCCACTAAGCCTGTCTGCAGGGCATGGCTTGGCCTCTCTTGGCCACATTCTAGAAGCGGAAGTCACCCTTTGGTGTGAAAGTCACCCTTTGGTGTTACAGTCTGCAGGTGCCCTTGCTACCTGCTGTGAGTTGAGACACCTTTCACATTCTTGGGGGAACCAGTGAACCCCTGCCCTATGCCCCTACCTCTTCACTGTTACACTGAGATGTTTCCTGGGGTGGCCAGGTAGTGAATGGCTTCTCCCAGGGGCCCACCTTGGAGGCCCACATGCTATGCCAGGCCTGGAGGGCTGGTCCCAGGGACGGGGCTGAGGAGACCTACCCAAGGCCCGACCATGGTTAGGAAGCGGTGGTCTGGGTGTGGCTGGTGCTGGCTCCCCCACTCAGATGCTCTTGGACTTTGGCCCTGGACACCTTGGGTCCTTAGACTGTGTCTTGAGGGTTCAATTAAAAATTGTTCAAATTTATACAATTATCTTAACAAAATTTGTTTATAAATGCTGTCTTCTCTTACAGAGATATCATTTGAAAGATATTTTTCTACAATAGGAGTTTAATGTCTTAAATCCTTGTTTCTCAAATCTGGGTCCCAGGAACCCTAACAGTTGAAAGTTTTTTTACAAACTGTAGGAACTCTTTCTTTTAAAAGCCTCTG